CAAAGAGAGCAGTATCGAAATATAAAAATCAATAGCTCTAAAAGAGTAAGAGAATGGAGAAAACACAATAATATATTAGCAAATATAACATATAAATTGTGTATAATATCGTGTTATCATTCTTTTAATTATTGACCAAAAATATAAGAATATTAACATAACCGAAAGGTAGACTAGCATACCTAGAGTTTCTAGCTAATACTCGACCACTCGCTCTCAAGTTAGAGCATGAAGATCACAAATAACTTGATTGCGTAAAAGATACCCAAATTGTTGGCTTCCAAGTGTTTTAGTAAGCGAAACCGCCAATTAATTAGTGTTGTATCGAAACATAGAACATAGAAAGATTAACCTTTAACAACTCATGACGAAAAAATGACAACCTTAATTAGATATCTTAATATGTTTAGTCCAATCATAAAACACCAGGTTCTAAGCATTATGATTATGCAAAGTTAAGTGACTATCACGAAACAACTGCATAGGTTAGGAATGAATAGCACCAAAGGATGCGGAGAATAATAAAGCTCTTAACCACATCAATTCTTAAGTAGCATAATACATAGAACAATACTCAGCTTTTGCTAAAGATCGAGAAACAATAGGTTTCTTCTTTCTTTGTCTTCTATGAAACATAAGAACAACTTAAAAATATAAAATAACCTATCAAAGAACGTTAAGTCAAAGGACATACTACCCAATCATTATTACAAAAGGACATCAACACTAGTGGAAAAAAAATCTTATTTGCAATGGTAAAAAACAAGGTTATTATAATGGCAACGTTCGTTACGCGTGCGGGGGTTACCAAAAAAAAAAACTCGCTATTTGTAACAGCCGTTATCCGTTACAAATAACAGGTTATTTGTATCGGGCGTTTTAGTGGCTGTTGCAAAAATCTAATATGAGTATTTTTAAGGATTTATTCTTGAACTATAAATACCCCTTGTAAAATCCAATTAACTTACTTAGCATACTCTAAATACCCTAGATTTCCTTTGTAATTAGTTTTCAATTGCACTTTGAAAATTCAAACATGTCAGCAACAATTGATTCTCTTTTCAATTCACATAATGACATAAGTGCGTGGCCTGGTATTCATCTATTTCTTATCTCCTGCTTTTATTTATTGTTAACCACGTTTTCTTTGTTGAATATCGTATATGCTTTGATTGAGTCCCTAGGTGTCGCGGGTCTAGGAACCTAGTCAAATTATAACTTAAAAGTGACATAAAAGTCACTTATCAAACTCCCCCAAGCTAATCTTTTGCTCATCCTCAAGCAAAATACAATGAAGCACAAGAGAATGAGAATGAATTTATTCAAGTAAAGATAACACACTAAAGGAGATGAGAATGTACACTAACTCACTTTCGTAGGAATCACGGTCAATTTTAGCAACTAAAGACAAGCCATTTAAACCCCTAGATCGCTCTAGAGGACGAGTGTGCTCTCGTGAAGGTTTTCTAAGAGCTTAACCCACAACTCTTGTGAACCAAGTTCAAGACAAACCAAAAACAAGGAGAAAACTAGGCAAAGAAAAGTAAACAAACACATCACAAATCATGATCAAGAAGAACTTTTTAGAGAGACAAGTATATATGAATGACAAGCTTTCTAAGAAATAAGAGTGTGCACGCAAGCGGATGCCAAAGGTTGATTGAAAAATAAGCCATGCTAAGCATAGATAACTCTAACAAGATCCACTCCCCCCACATTTCAAACATTCTTACCTCGTTCTCTCATCTAGATTCAAATACACCCTTCAAGGTAGCGTCTCTTGACTCCACGAAGAAGTCGGAACAAAGATAAGACAATAACAACAAGGAGAACCCAACATCTTACCAAGACATGCTCTCTCCATATTCTTGAAATCTAGCTCCCTCCACCGACTAATGACTCAACTAATCTAGGTCAAAAGGTGTAACGTAGGCTAAGGGGTGAAGGTGTGAAAAATTTGAAAATTGATGCTAAGCCTAATTGTGAAGCAAAGGGTGATCAAGCAATATTTAAACCAACTTGCTCAACTAATCTAGGTCAAAAGGTGTAACTTTACAAATAACAGGGTATCAGGCGTTTTAGTGGCCGTTACAAAAAACTAATATGAGTATTTTTAAGGATTTATTCTTGGACTATAAATACCCTTTGTAAAATCTGATTAACTTACTTAGCATACTCTAAATACCCTAGATTTCCTTTGTAATTAGTTTTCAACTGCACTTTGAAATTTCAAACATGTCAGCAACAATTGATTCTCTTTTCAATTCATATAATGACATAAGTGCGTGGTCTAGTATTCATCTATTTCTTCTGTCCTGCTTTTATTTATTGTTAACCACGTTTTCTTTGTTGAATATCTTATATTCTTTCGTTCCTACGTGTAACTAGTTTACCAATCAGAGTAGTTAAGCAAAACCCAAAAATTATTGATCCATGATTTATATTTTTAACTCCAAATTGACTAAATTAACAATAGCCTAAGATGTTAATTAATTTTACATAATTTTTAGAATTTGTTATATATACCCGGGTGTACAATACACCCGGGTCATTTGCTCATTTAATCAACAAATAAACAAACAATATTTTTACTCATTTTTTGATTGAATGCGCAAATGACCCCGGGTGTACATAACAGGCTATCCGTAATTTTATTTCAATAAATTAATAAAAAAAAACCTACTAGGCCTATCTTTATTTAGGAAATGATATCACAAAATTATTTCCTTCTAAATTATATCCACACATAAGTGTAATTAATTTGATTAGTTCGACATTGTAAATCATTATTGGTTTACATATATATATATATTATCTTTAATGTAATTAAGTTGTGATTTAAGTAACAATATATTTACTCTTTTTTTATTTGGCATACTTCGTTTATGTAGGGTTTTAGTTACTCAGCGGAATTTCATGAATCATATTCATAGGCACCTAAACAAGATCTCAAATATATAGAAGTAAAGGATCATATAATAGTTTAGAATTAATAACTTTTGATGCGTGAATTCCTCTCAATCTGCAACTTTCTTCTCTATGGGAGATAAAGAGCCTCAAGCATAAATCCTCTATTCCACTGGCTTGAATCAATGCTCCACCAGTACTAGTTGGACGGGAAAACGTTTCTCCTTTTTTGGAGCTGAGAACCAATTTTTAGATAAAATATGGAGAGGAAAACATTACGTTGTTTTAGAAAAATTGACTACTATGATTTTATTTTCTAAAACCCCTAATTAATATAATCCCCTTAGATAAGTTAGGTAAGGTTTTCCTCTCCTCTTTTCCCCTTGGCCGGCCACCCTAAGACTAGGGATGTCAATGGGGCGGGGCGGATGTTGGCCTTCCCATCCCCATACCCACCTAAAGTTTTCATCCCCATCCCCATTCCCATCCCGCGGCGGGTATAAAATTCATCCTCATTCCTGCCCCGGCGGGTACAATTTCGAAACCATCCCCACCCTACCCCCCACTTGGATATCCACCCCTACCCAATCTCCACCTAAGACCCGCCTTCCAAATACACAATCCTGCATAATTAATAAAGATCACAAAAAGAAAAAATTATTGTTAATATTACACTTTTTTTTGTTTATAATATAAGTATATTACAAAGTATTATATTTACTAATTTATTTTACAATCATAAATTTTTTTTTTAATAAAATAGTACAGAAGTGTATAATTTTTTTTTAAAAAAATATATGGATGTGGGGATGGAGCGGATAATATATGGATGTGGGGATGGAGCGGATACGAAGTGAGGCGGGTGGGGCGGGGCGGGTACAACCTAAAATCCACACCCGCCCCATCACCCATGTTGGGTATGGTTTTTATTCCCGCCAAACCAAGACCCATCCTCGCCCTAATGGGGAGGGGATGGGGCGGGTCTCCTATTTGACCCGCCCCACTGACATCCCTACCTAAGACCCACTTTGGGCTTCGGGTTTCTTTATTGATCCAAACCTAATGTGTGACCTTGTAGGATCCGTTTAAGTGAGCTTTGGCGGGTTTATTTATTCTGAGCAAAAGGTCTATAGCGTTTTTTAGTAAGATGTAAAGACTACCCAAATAAACAAATCATTAACTCCATAACACAATCCAAATTATACTTAGTAATTGCACTAGAATTGAGGACATATTTCCTTCATATTATTCATTGGATAAAATCATATTTCGTATTAGCTTCATATTTGATTTTTGTGTATTATTTTGCGAATTGAATAATACGATTTAGGCCATGGTATCTTTATCTTACAAATTGTATAATACGAAGTAGGTTACAAATTAAAGTTAAGTTTTGATTTAGGCCCTTACAAGCTGAATAATATGAAGTATGTTACAAATTGAAGTTAAGTTTTGATTTTGGTCCTGTTATCTTTATCCTAGTTTCATATTAGCTTCATGTTTGATTTTGTTTAATATTTTGCATATATTGCCAAATTGAAGCTTAGTTTTCAGTTTGATAAAGAATTGAATAACCCACATTATCCTCAAATATGTGCAAAATTAATTATTTCAGTTAGGAAAAGTAATTTCACCTCAGTAAAATAATTTCATTTCAGGAAAAATAAGATAAAAGATAACAAGACCTAAATCTAAACTAAGATAAAGATTAAAGAAATAACTTTGTGTTTAATCCTACTTGGACACCGATTTGAAAAATAGTTTCAATCAACAACACCAATTTAGGCTATTTAGCAAATCATAATGATCACTTATATCCATGAATTGAACCACCTTACCACCTTGATGTCAATGTCAAGTAGTCTTTTTTTTTTTTTTTCCTCGCAATTATATGACTTTTGACATCCGAATAGTATAACGTAGGACTTATACCAAAGAACCAAAAATTGACTTATACCAAAGAACCCAAAATTGACTTTTATGAGCATGTTAGAATTTTACTGTCATTAACTAATACTTCACACGAAAAAAAATGGCTTCTTTAATCTAGCGTTGTTTGTATGTCTATTAGATGTCTAGAGTTTTCCTTCTCAATTATTTTCAATTCTCTGTTAGTAGTTACAGCATTACCTTCAATAACTTACATAATGTCACGCTTAACGTTAACATTTTACGTGATAATTTTCGCTACCATTATTCTGTTTCATTGTATTCAGCTCGCAACAACTCAGAACAATGAAACAGAGAGGTTGGCATTGCTCGAAATCAAAGCCAAAATAACAGATGATCCATTGGGTGTAATGAGGTCATGGGACGATACCATCCAATATTGTGAGTGGCACGGGGTTACTTGTGGTGGTACATACGAGCAAGTGACAAAACTAGACCTGAATTCATCAGAAATCACGGGTACGCTCTCTCCCTATATCGGAAATTTAAGCTTCCTGCAGCAGTTGCGCCTTGACAGTAACAACTTTGTTGGGATGATTCCGGATAGTCTAGGAAAATTAAAGAATCTGACCATTATGGTTTTAGATGAGAATATGTTCAATGGAATAGTCCCACCTTCAATCTTTAATCTCTCGTTGTTGACACAATTATCCTTAAGGCAAAATGAGTTAGAAGGAGATCTTCCTTCAGGTTTAGGTAATACACTTCCGCGTCTTCAGTTCTTGTCTTTGGGCTCCAATCGATTTACCGGTCTAATTCCTGCTTCAATATCCAATTCTTCTAGTCTGGATGTTCTTCAGTTGAGTCAAAACCATCTTCGAGGTCACGTTCCTTCTCTGCACAAGTTGCAAAGGCTTTCGCGCCTAGTCCTTTCTGATAACTCCCTTGGGTATGACCAAGACGAAGATTTGAACTTTGTTTCTTCTTTAGCCAATCATACCCACTTACTATGGCTTCAGATAGGCCAAAATAACTTCAAAGGAGTTTTTCCTAAAACCATTTGCAATTTCTCATCCCTTGCTATATTGGCATTACACAAGAACAACATAGTAGGAGAAATTCCAGTGTGCATTGGAAACTTAGCCAAACTGCAACAATTTGTGGTTAGTGACAACAGACTTTCCGGGGTCATTCCTTCGAGTATAGGGCAACTCCAAAATCTATACACCCTATACACGAATGGTAACAATTTATCCGGGGTCATTCCATCTTCGATTGGAAACTTAAGCAGCTTGTCTAAAATTTCCTTGTCTCATAACAACCATATAGGGGAAATACCGTCTGATCTTGGAAATTGTACATCTCTAATAGCATTATATTTTGCTAATAACAGTCTTACTGGTGGTATACCCTTGCAACTCTTTAATCTCCCGGCCTTGTCTACCATGATCGATTTTTCTGAAAACCACCTAACCGGATCCCTCCCGGAAGAAGTTGGGAAGTTGAATAATCTTCAAAGCATTTTACTAAATGGTAACATGTTATCAGGTCAGATTCCAAGCTCTATTAGTAGGTGCGTCGTTCTAGAGTACCTATACTTGGGGAAAAACAACTTCGGAGGCTCTATTCCTGATGCATTGAGATCATTAAAGGGTCTTCTTGAGATTGATCTGTCATACAACAATTTAACAGGGCAGATACCGCCATTTCTAGCAGACTTACAGTTAAGATTGCTAAATCTCTCACACAATAGCCTTGAAGGTGAAGTACCTATTCGCGGAGTTTTTAATAATGCAACAAATATTTTACTAAGTGGAAATGATAGGCTCTGCGGAGGCATAGTCGAGTTACATTTGCCTCGATGCAGTAGTAGTCCGGACAAACAGGAAAGCAAACAGGGGCACACGAAGAAATTGACAGTCACAATTCTTTCTTCATTTTTCGGAGTTATTCTGGTATTGGCTTTAGTACTTGTGTTGTTGAAAAAATCAAGGAAGAGAAAAAAGACTAATGAACCCGTGTCACACGATATATCAGGTCATAGAATATTTCCAAATTTGTCTTACCAGACACTCCTTAGAGCAACTAATGGGTTCTCCCCGGAACATCTGATTGGCAGCGGAACATTTGGGGTTGTGCACAAGGGAATCCTCGAGGAGGATGGATCAGTTGTTGCAATTAAGACATTTAATCTCGAGCATCATGGCGCTTTGAAGAGTTTTATTGCTGAATGTGAGGTCCTTAGAAGCATCAGACACCGAAATCTTCTGAAGGTAATTACAGCTTGCTCAAGTGTTGATAATCAAGGAAGGGATTTCAAGGCATTGGTATGCGAGTACATGGTGAATGGAAGTTTGGAAGATTGGTTGCATCCATCACATGAAACTAGTAATGTCAAAAGTTTATGTGATACCTCAAGATACTTGAGTTTTCATCAAAGATTTGATATTGCAGTTGATGTTGCATTTTCCTTGGATTATCTACACCATCAAGGTGGTGCCCCAATAGTTCACTGTGACTTGAAACCGAGCAATATTCTCCTTGATGATGAATTGGTTGCTCATGTTGGCGACTTTGGGCTAGCCAAAATCCTCCTAGAAGGCGTCAACAACTGTCATGCAAATCAATACAGCTCCATTGGAGTTAGAGGAACTATTGGATACACTCCTCCAGGTAACGTTAAAATTTTTTACCACAATTCTAATTTATCTTTATGAGATAGTATAGCCGTATAGGTTTGTGGGATCGTGTTGAATTCGTCTTATTTTAATTCCTCCGTTTTATTAAGACTTACAACACAAACTTTTTCACTGTATTTAAGAAAAGTAGGTCTCACATAATATTTAGAATGGGGTGAGAGATTGTTAGTAATATAATTTAGTGGGCCATAAGCTTAAAATAAAGGTCATAATTCAATTTTCAATAAAAAAAATAAAAATAAAATAAAAGAATTCTGATTATAGTGTATTGCAAGTATTGTAACATTTCCATTTTAGAGAAATGTTGCAAGTATTAAAAAACTGATAAATAAAGTATATATAATCAATATTAAGTTTTAACAATTTATGCAGATATATATAAGTCTCATCATGAGACCTTGAAAAGTCAAATAAAAATAAAAAAAAATAAATAAAAAAAAGGAGATGAAGGGAATGTAAGCCAGTGTTTGTTTGTAAACCAATTCCCAAATCATGTTTTCTACCTCCAATAAACCTATTTTGAAGTTCAGTGTGATCATTATGATAATATAAAGTCATGTTATACGCAGAATATGGTTTGGGAAATGAAGTGTCAACTGCTGGCGATGTCTATAGTTTCGGGATCCTTTTACTTGAAATGTTTACAGGAAAGCGGCCTACTAATGACATGTTCAAAGGGGGCTTGAGCTTGCATAACTTCGCGAAAAGAGCTATGCCGGAAGAGATCACAACAATTGTAGATCATTCTCTTTTGGAAGACATTAACAAAGAGGAAAATACCAACAAGAGCGTAATATTGGAGGCCTTAACTTCTATACTTTTAGTGGCACTTTCATGTTCATCTGAAGTGCCTCAAGAAAGGCTGGACATGAGTGATGTTGCTCAAAACCTATCTTTTGTCAGAAATAAGCTTCTTTATCAAATAGGAGACTTCGAATAGTAAAATTTTTGTATATATATGGAATAAATTTGGTCGGATTACGCGTCAAAGTTTGTTATTCTATAGTTTTGTGCTAGATTGATTTGTAGTATACCATTTAATTTTAAAACTTTTGGTTAATTAATTTAACTACGAGTATAGAAATTCTTTTTAATAAATATTTATTATTATTTTGATAATATTCGGACATTTATATCCCTAAAATTATTTGCTTACATTTTATTTTTAAATAGCAATTGTTTTGGGGTTTTTTGATGTCCTACGGGAGAGTTACAATTCCGAGACTGAAACCGGACCCCTGTATCTGCAAAACAAACGGATGCTCCGGATGATTGGAGATCCGCCTCCAACGGTCAAGTTAGTACTTGATTAAGGAGTAATTAATGCGGAAATAAATGTAATTTGGTCTCTCTAGGTGAGAGTGTTTAATGTGCGTAATCCCCCTTAATGAGGATTAATGGGCATATTTATATGCCTTGGAATGCGTGCCAGTACTAGGTTTAGGTTAAACCTAAGGCTGACTGGGCTTCCCACCAAGATTGGGCTTTGTTGGCTGATTTACCTATTTGGCATGATGGACACGTGTCACATCACAATTGGTCCATGGAGGACGTATCTCATGATGACACGTGGCAGGCTCCTATTAGCTTACGTGAGGGACACGTGGCGAAACCTGGCTGGTCCACGTGTCGGATGCTGATTGGTGGATAAAAATCCCCTAATCATTTGCCCCTCACAGGTGGCACGCGACTGGTCACGTGTTACCTGTGACAGGTGTCGCACCGTAACAGGCGACGACCTGCTACAGGTGTCACTCAGTGAAAGGCCGAGAAATTTTCCCGCCCAAATTTTGAATTTGGAGGTAACCCTTCGCCTTCTCATTTTGCCTATATAAGGGTGTGTTGACTTCGGTCATTTTCACACTTGAGAACTTTTTGAAGAGAACATTCGGACCCCTGAACTTGCTCTGACATTCCGGACTCTTTCTGCCTACCGCCTGCTCTGACAAGCCGGCTGCTCAGAATTTCCAGAACCTCGTCAACTTCACTCGTTCAGGTAACCGTCGGTTCTCTTACTCTTAATTTTTTATTTTTTCCTTTTTGAAATGGCACCACGGAAGCACACGACACGACCTAGATTAGTGATCAGCCGGTCACCGGGGACGGCTGAATCTAGGACTAGGAGTGTCGCCTGCCCTTTTCCGAACCAATCTTTGCCCTTCACACAAAGTCCGACTGTCTCTGTGTCTATGCAGAACATAATGGCCAGAACAAAGAGGACTGCTATGATCTCGAACTCAGACAGCTCCTCCTACCGGGTGCCGATTAGTGAAACATCTGACCAGGCGCCAGATGCCGAAGTTAACCAAGGCGGCTTGACCGCCGATAGCTCTGAGGGAGGGATCAAGGTGGTCCCTTCCCATTTTACAGTTGACATGTCTACATTCTCTCCTACTCCTATCGAAGGAGAGGAGGCGGGCCCCTCTGGGAGAGGGGAGGAGTCGTCCTCTTCGGGCTCGTCAGAGGACGAGTCCGAGTCTAGCTCTTCTGGTCATACTTCTCTAGACATAGAGGAGAAAAACAACCGCCTACAAGAGGCAAGGCTTTCTCACGCAGTTGAGAAGGGGGACAATTGGGCGAAGCCATCCGCCTCTTATCGAGAGCAAAATACCCCTTACTACTGCACTGTCCCACAGGGCCGGATCAAGGACATGCAAGAGAGAGTGGGGAGCTTTATTGCGAACCACACAATGGGCCCTGGCTTTTTAGTTTTTGTGCCGGATCCAGAAGACACAGTCGTCTGGCCGGCTGGTACTAGTTATGATAGCGCCTGCTTTGGCTACTACGAGGCGGCAATCAGGGCTGGGCTGCGCTTCCCACTACATCCGGCTGTTCAGCGGATCTTGGATGGGTATGAGTTGGGGTTATGGCAGTTAGCCCCAAACTCCTGGTTCAACGTTATCGGCTATGTGGCCGGGTGCGAACTGCACGGGGTGGATCCAAACTTTGAGGCTTTCGCCCATATGAACTACCTCAGCCGGACCCCTAAGGCAGGCGGTACCGGCTGGTATCAATTGACGAGCCACCGTGGCTACCTCATGACAAGAGGTAAAGAAAATAAGTGGAAGGATTGGAGAAGCACCTTCCTTATCATTGAAAGTTCAGACACGAGCTGAACAACTGCTTCAACAGGTGGAACAGGGATCCACCTCTTCTCGCAGGCGGCCGCAGCATGCCGCTTGTTCCCCCCAAAGCCAAGAAAGAGATCCTGGATAAAGGACTCTTCAAATTAGAGTCGAGGGTCGACTCTACTACAGGGGTGCGAGAGCAAGTACCCCTGCACTGCGTCCCGAGCTTTAAATGGCTCTATGACGAGTACTTTTTGGCCGCCTGTGGCCTCAGCAGTCGGTGATCAAGAGGTAGCCGGCCTGTCGAATACTCTCTTTTACCTTGCATTACTGTTATTACTGTTGTTAACCTTGGTATTTGTTCTTGCAGAGGACGCCATGAGCAAAATTACCGCCTCAAAGACTGCGGCTGCTATGTTGCGTGCTTCCATCATGCAACAGTCCTCTGCCGACTCCCCCAACAAGGAGGCCCCTTGGTAAGTTCCAAGCCTCTCACTCCTTTTTAAAGTTAAGAGTTTATGTAGATACTGACCATGCGTCTTGTTGTGTATTTTTTATTTTTTTATTTTTTTTTAGACGGGCACTCGAAGAACCTCTTCTTCCCAACATCCGGACTCCAAGACCCGGAGGACGACTGTTGCGAGCTCTCCTGGTACTGCCAGGAAACAAGCGGCGACTGAGAAACAGCCGGCCACCCCCTCTCAAACTCCAAATAGGCCGCCTAGAAGTATGGAACTATTCTTGCAAATTCAGACTTGCTTTCCTTTTTCTAGGTCTAACATGCTCGCTTATGCTTGATGCAGCCGGCCCTTAGGAGCCAGACTTGGTCGAGGTGGCCAAGTCCATGATCAAAGCCGTCCCTCCAGCTGAAAGGGAGGCGGTCAGGGGTGTCGGCACCCTTGACCTAGACGGGATCGCAGGGGTCCTTGCTGAGGTATACTTGGCATATTTTTGTCATTTAAATTCCAGGACGCCTGTTTTTTGTTTAAAACTGACGCCTGTTCCCTTTTACTTAGACCCTGCTCCGTGTGAACGGCCTTCGCAAGCTGCTTGATAAGAAGAACAAAGAGGTAAAGGCTGCTAAAGCTATGGCCGCCTCTGACTGCGATAAGGCAATGTTTCAAATTGCCCAAAATGAGATTTTGACAACTGATATTCTTTATTATCAGGCGCAGGCTACTTCTGCTATCCGGGCTCAGTTGGAGGCGGCCCAGAAGAAGAATAATGATCTGGAGGCGACCATCAACAATCTCAAGGCCGAGTTGAGGCCTCTTCGCCAAAAAGCGAGCTCATTCGACTCCTTGGAGAAATCCTTGGCGAGCGTTAAGGAGCGCCTGGAAACTCAGGAGAAGAGCCTCACCGAAGAGCTCTTGGCTAAGGCCGAGCAGGAAAAGAAGGAGCTGGTCCGAGAGATGATGGAAGACTCTGCTCAGATCCAACGCCTGACCTGGGGCCGCCTCTTCCCCAATGCCGACTTTGCCTCGTGGGAAAAAACGTACCGCCAGTGTTCTGATAGATATAATCAAGAGATCTTGGCGGTTGTTTAGGACGAGGCGTTTAAGGTGGAGGAGCTGGTAGTGGCGATTGTGCCGCTTGGGGTGGATGCATCGAAGAAGGATGCAGCTGAAGTCGAGTCCAGCAAAAAGAATGCTGACCAGGCGGCAGCTGCTATTATTGAAGATCTGCCCCCTTCTTAAGCTTTTTGTCTTCTTTCTACGGCCTGCGTGCCGTTTGTTTCTGTTTACCCGGCCAGGGGGCCGGGGTTCTGAATACTTTTCCGGTCTTATTGACCGGCTTCTTTTGTATCTTTTACCCGGCCAAGGGGCCGGGGTTATGAATATTTGTGCCGGTCTGTATGGCCGGCTGTTAATATAACTCAGGCGACCATTATTTTAGGTCGCCTCTTTGCCAAAATGTTTCGAATTTGTGCTTTTTATTTTGCTAAGTATCGAAACTCTGATATCCAATTGCATACTATACCGACTGTTCTGCATGGCCGATAGTTTCAGACTAGTACGACGTAGTCACGCCGCCTATGCCCCTGGACGACTGGTTGTCTGTTTCCAGGCTAAGCAATCAGTCGGCCATTTTAAAGACTAGATCCCGTTTAGGCAGGCGGTCCTGTTGTTTGTAAAATTAACCAAGTAGGAAGGTGGTTTCCTACCTGCCTTGCTTTTAGGCAAGAGACTCTAGCCGGTCCAGACCGGCTGTTCCCTGCCACATTTAACCTAGTGTGAACCGGCGCTATATGAACACCTTTTTAGTTTCATACTAAGTTTTTAAGGAGTGACCAAGTAAACAAGATTGTTACTTAGTCGCCGAGTGACTGAGTAGTAGAGGTTTCAAGCGGTAGATACCGGTTGTTCCCCTTTATTCGCCAATGTTTGTTGGCTATTAACTCATAAGGTACCGACTGTTCTTATCCTAAGTAGTTTAGTCGGTTAATTGACACGGATAGGTACTGCAAACACTTGTTTGACCTGATTAGTCGGTTAATTGAGAGGTATCCTTGTCTGAGAGACGGCTACGTGGTTGTCTTAGTTAGACAGTCGTATAGGTGCCGTGTAATGATTTTATAGAACAATGTTCCACCCAAAAGGGAGCTGCTCTCTGCGACGAATTTCATCCGGATGGATGCCGCCGGACGCCTGCTATAATGTTGGGACAGGTCGAATTAATTTAACATTTGGATCAGTTGGCCTGGCGCCTGGTCTGATCATTTCGGCTAAGATCCTTTGATAGTTCTAGGTGAACTGTGTTATGGGAGAGTAGCCGGTTGTGCGGTATGCCCCTCTTAAGTAAGAATGAAAATAAAACATGGAGAGTAGCCGACTGTTTGTCAGTAGGCAT